CTGGAGCTGAAGCAAGGCAGATTCTACACTCTTGAAAGACTTTGGGGTCTTTCATGTTCTTTGCATGAAATATTAAAGATTGAACAAAACAAAATTCTTGGCAGACGCTTTTCTATCCGTATCACACCATGCTCATCCCAATTCAGGATTATTAACTCTGAGACTTGGATAAAGAGACTTGTACAAACAACAGGGGCAAAATGGAAATCTTATTAGCCTGATGAATGTAACTGAATTGTTCAACAAAGCAAGAATCTTTTCCCCAAATCCATGTTTTCATTTACTGTTATTTTTTAACCAATTACTGCCTACAATGCTTTTAAGGCAATGTTTCTACAGGGTACCACTGTTTTCAGACTGTACTTCCATGAACATTGTTTATAGAGTTTCAGTTCTCTCTTAAATTAGGATATATGCCCTACTCCAAATCTCCTCCAAGCGTAAATCCAGCCTAAACCTTGTTCTTATTCAAAAGCAGCAAACCTAAAACATGCACAGAATTGTTGGCTATTCGCAGCTTTAGACAAGGGAAAGCAATTTACAATAACCACTGAATTTCTCTTGCTTGCAATTTGCTATCACCACATGCTTTATTTGTAGTAGGCCTGAAATAAATACCGCTGGATCAGGCATCCTTTGGTGCTACACAAGGAAAGAAACGCTATTTAATATTCACAATAAATCTCTCGTAGCTTAGCCTCTGATACTTTTCCTTGCAGTAGAGAAAGCGATTATTTAGCTCTGGATTTTCCAGCAAAAGACAGTCAAACTGTGACTGACTGGAAGCGAACGGTAGCACCACTGGGGTGCCCTGGGAGGGGGAGGTTGTGCCAGTATGCACCAGGCACAGAAAGCCTGCACCTCCCCTGCTCCTCTCCAGCAGCACAGGGTGAAGCCGAGGCAGGCGTCTTACAGAGTGTCATAGGAATGTTTATGCCAGCAGAATGAGGTGCACTCATGTTACAGCACTTTCCAAAACTAAACCAGTACATTTGGTGAATCCTTTCCAAGGAGACTGATCAGATTCCTTGAGTTAAGATCAAATGAATGTTGCGGATGCTCCAGTGAAATGTGCTGACAAATAATACTGCGCTCGCCTGCGTTACATTTACTGTGAACTTAAAAAAAGAAGCTCATCTGTATCAAAAATAGATTTTCCATGCATTTCATTTTTCACCTGTGAACTGAGTACTGTAGGACAATAAGTTGATAATAAGTCTCTGTGGGACTGATCGGGAGCTAAAGCTGAACTCTGACCGGCCCAGAACTAAAACGCCGGTGAGCAGCTGTGTAGCTCAAGTAACTGATTAGAAACTGATACTGAAAATGGCTGAGAACTGAACTCCAACAAGTCACAAAAAGATTAAAATCAAAGCAGCGTCTTTTACCACTACAACCCAGGGCACTATGGAGTATCATCAGTCTTCCATACCACTGTCTAGTAGAACTAGCACCAACTAGTTGTTCAGTGTACCTAGTGTAATGGAGGCACCTAAGGAACTAGCTGTCTAAGTATATAATGTTTTAGAATAACAACGTTATTGTTTGCCTGAATAGTAACATACTGCACAGAGTTCTACTGGGTATTAGTGCACAGTGTAAAAGAAGTTGCTTTCCTTCTCCCCTCACTGCTGTGCTCTCTTCCACAGCAAAAGGGAATTCTCTAGCTGTATGGATTCTTTTGTCTCTTAAATTGAATGAAGTAGAGCTGGTCTGGATGGTCCCACACCTTTCCACACGACTGGAGTGCAGGCTTTTTTCTCTAAGAATGCCCCAAACGCTTCAGCTCCCTGCCCCTTGTCTGTCTGCATCCCCTAGCTTTCCAAAAGCAGCACAGGGAGGCACACCACAGGCTCTGGAGAATTAGGCAGCCAGAAATTAAAATGAGCAGGTAGGGAATGCAGTGTTTCACTGAGAAAGGCCAGTGCAAGCCAAGTTCTTGCTGCCTGATCAAACCTCTGGGAGAGCTGGTGAGACCCCCAAAAGAGTTTTATGTGGAGCCATAGCAAGGATGAGGTGGTAAGAGGCATATTTAACAAGGGAGTTTAGGGACGGAAGCAGTCAGAAACCATCAGACACATGCACATTCCTTAATGCATAACGAGTTATCTGCACGAGTGAAACATGGAAAACTCAACTCAGGCCAGCACTGGCACTCTAAGTATTCACTGAAGAACTCTGTTAAGCGTACATTGAACAGTGCAGACTGATGGCACTTGAAGTAAAACGAACTTCGTATAGTCAGAGAAGGGCAGACTCTCACTGGTTTAGGTAGGCAGGTAGGGATGGGCGTTCTTAACACTTCTCTTCTGCTATATATGACGTTTGCGATTTGATGTCCTGCACAAGTGCTGACTCCATGTACAGATTTTGACAGCCACATAAAAAATAACCAGCTCCCCACCCTGAGCAAGAAACCCCACAGGGAATTTAAGTGTGATAATAAAACTGAGCAGCAGCAAACTTCACCTGAACTGCCAGGTTATAAACAATGCTCATGAAACCCTTGTGGCCAGGATCAATAAAAGGAAATGCCATCACTCCCGAGAGCCAAGAACTATTAGAAAAATAAAAAGCTTTCTGTTTCAGAGTGTGTATGTCTAGATTTCACATTCCACTGCTTCTTCAGGGGCATTATAGACTAAACAAGCAAGCAAGCTAGTTCTCTTTGACTGCCAGCGTTGCAACAGCTAAACCAAGCCACGGATTACCCGGCAGGGAAGTCCATGCCCTTGAGATACATTCTCTTGAGCCATGTCACTACTTCACGTTACTGTTCAAAGTCATCAAAATTCAGGGCTTAAGTTTTTCCCATCACAGCAGCTAGAGCTCTTTCCACCTTGATCTCAATTTCTAATGCACATATATCCATGTTCCATTTTAAAGGATTCTCAATGTTTCCAAACTTTTATGCAAGTTAGATAATTTTGAGTGTCCCCATCTCCACGTTTCTTTAAACTCTTGATGGAAACTAGTCTCTCTTTTTTGTAGTACAAGAACATTCCACTCCAGTTCCACCTCTGCAAATCAAGTCTAAAAAAGTAAAAGTGATCTCTTAGCACAGTCATTTTCCTGGTAACTAAGGCCCAAGGCATCTTGCCTTTCTCCTGTTTTGTTCTTGTTTGGTTGAAAAGTAGGTACTTATCATTTCTAGAGACTGCTCCCATACTTTTCATGTCAAGTATTCTTCCTCTCATCTACGCAATCTTTGTAAAATTCTTTTTTTTTTTTTTTCCAAAAAGTAAAAATCATTGTAAATTCTCAGTAGGTGACTAAACTGTCACAACCCTTTTATACATGGGTAAATTTCTCTTGACTTTCCGAGGTGAGATTAATCTAATTCGACAACTATTGTGGAAACGTCTTTTGTTCATGACACTGCGATACTAGATCTTAAATAGGTTTCTATGCATAAGTCAGTAGGCTGACCTCAGATGATGAAATGGTACAGCTTGCATAAAACACTGAAACACACAGAGTGAAAGCCTGCTGAAATCCTGAGAGTAACTTTATGAACATCCCCTTTTATGAATATCTGCCTTTACGAACATCTTAAAAACAGCGCTGGACCATTAAAAAAAAAAGTTACTTTTTAGTCTCTGTTTGTGGTTTGTTTTTTCCATATGATTGCAGCAAAGCTGAATGTCTCACAAATGGAGACTAAGCAACAGAACAGAAAAGAAAACAGAAAAGGAGATTCTACCGATCTGTATAAAAAGATAAGACCAAGAGCATCCACGAAACTTCTCACTTGCTAACAGAGAAACTACCTGACTTATTTGGGCTCAACAATATTTCCTATCACTTTATCCTGCTTTTTTTCTTTTCAGAATGGATCTTAACTCATCTAAATCTATGAGTCTATGCAAGCATATTTCAGCCTGTGGAATGTTCCTTTCTGTAAGTTTAGAGTCCGGCTCTTGGTCTAGGCTCTGTTTAATTTCAGCTGAAAATCTTGCTTAAACACGCTAGAGACACACATGCACACCAAATAAGATGACAGAAATCATTCCATGTGTGGAAACAGCTGGATCACAAACTGGTTTCCAATTTTCTCAGAGATTTTATAAATTCTTTTCCAGGAAATATTTAAATATACCCAGTGTTCTCATAGAAAAGCTAACACATACGCTATACTTTTTGTTAGCATCTTTCTACTCTGTGCATTTATTTTATACATTATCTGGAACATCCACTTAAAGACAAACTTGAGATTTTGAAAGCAATATAGGAAATGCATCCACACATCATCTCAGAGTACATTGCTCTGCTTTGGAGACCTCAGCGTAAGATCTTTGTACCTTAGCTGTTAGTCTGTTCCTAATACTAATTAGTCTGCTGTGCACCCATATATAAGATCTGTTACATTCTCAAATCATATTTCCACATTATAACCTGTCCAATTACTGCTTTCCATACCTGTCTTTGCCTAGGCTAGTAAAAATGATCTCTTACAAAATGCAATAAAAATAGCAGTTACTTCGCTTTATAACATTACGGAGCTTTAAATACTAATGCAACTATTACAGAACATTTCTGTGCAAGATTATCTGACCTGAGAACAAGTTTTCTAAAAAGGAAAGAATATTAAAAGGAAAGGTTAAGAGACCTGTTATGCGAAGGGATTCTGCTTTCTCAGTGGCAAGGCAACTTCTCTTGCACCTGAGAAAGGCTTCTCTCTCCATGTTCTACTGAGAGAGAACATCCTTTCCTGTACTCAGGCTACACCTTTCTTATCATCCTATTGGCTGCAGAAACGCCACTTTCACACCCCCAGTCCTGGTGGTGCCACACCATAGATACAAATTTCCATCATGCTGCAAATATTCACCTTATGAATGGCATGTTCCTCCCTTGCACTCAAAACAGTTGTTATGACATTTTTAGAACAGTCATTCATAAATTGACCAAACAAAATTGTGAACCATCCACATGGGATTCTGCAAAAGAAACATCACCGATGAACTTATTTTTTAAGATTTTAACCCATATCAACATACTTCTGAAGAGTGAGGCTCAAATTGTAGCTGGCTGACTTGATCTTGTTCTGGGCCTCTAAGTGGGTCATGCTGTCAGTGTTGACTCCATCAATGGCTACCACAAGGTCCCCTTGGTTCATTTGTGACTGGGCTGCCTTGCTGCCAGGGGTGATCTGCATGGGAAAAGAAAGATAAAAGAAAATTTATCAGGATAAGTCATTTGGTGCATTCTAGAGTGATTCTAGAGAACTTGTGCAGAGTTATAATGGGAGGAGTCTTTCCCTCACCTACTGCTATTACTATTACTGTAGGGATGGAACAACATTTACGGAAATTAAACAAACTCAAAGTTAAGTCACACTTCTGCAAAGGCCCAGGACAACGCCTACTCGTCATGAATTCCCGTTTGAGGGGTTAAGCCCAATTTTCTGGTTCCTATACCATGTATTAGCTCCTCAGGAGGATAATTATCATCAGTTATATTGGAGAAGTACATAAGAACATTACTCAGAATCAGCAAACTAGTAAGCTATCTGCTTACTACCTGCTGCATGATTTTATTGCATTTTTTGCCTCCCAAAAGTCATTCTTCCCAGAGAAGTCTGTGAGGGGCTCTGGACACGTTTTGCTTCTTTTATAGTGAGCTTTATAGCAAACTATTCTGCTTAACCCTACCCGCATAAAACTATAACCGCCTTACCAAGACAGATCACTACATATTTGAGATCACTCAATGACCTGTTGGACCTGACCAATCTGATACTCCAAAGAAAGAGATGAGCGCTTTTAGGAATGAGAAGCCACAACGGTCCAACTACACATCCAATCGTTCAGACGACAGTTCAGAAATTCTGGTCTCTCACTACAGCATTATGTTTTCTCAGCACCGGAAGCCTTGCGGACCGTGTCTTCTCCTAGCGGACAGTATCCTGACCTCAACTTTACACAACCTTCTCAGCTTGCATCTGGATGACACTGATACATTACAGCAACTACGAAACTTGACTCCATTAGGGAACCCCAACTAAAACAGAAGAACCTTCACATACCTTCAGCCAAACAAGCCTCAGTGAGCACATCAGAACTGTTCTCTGCTCTGAGTGTATACAGAGGCTACAGATACCAATTATAGTTCTTTGTTCTTATTTTTAGGTAGCTACTTCCTTAAATCCCATGTATCTAAAAAATGAATATAATCTAAAATGCTAAGATGAAGACTGCAGTCAACAGCTCTGTTCCTTCAGCACAGTGAGCATAAAAGTAAAAATGTGTCTGATTATGAGCCAAAACTCCCCTGTGTGTCAATTTGAAACAATGACATTAATTCCTGTGGAAACCAAGAACCAACACAATTCCAAACTCCTCTCCCACCAAGCATGAAGTGAAACTCCTCAACCCACCTTCCCTAATATGACCTCAAAACATTTAAAATATGTACATTCTTAAAAAAACAAACAAACAAACAAAAACCTTCCAAAACAGTTCCCTAAGCTGCTTGTCTGTTCTTCAACTAGGGGAGACAGAAAAAAATATGATTCCTAATGCCCCACTAAAAGTATTGAGGCTGACAATCCAATCAGAGCAGGACATCCACTGGCCACAGTTGTTGTCAACTTTCTAGAATACAAGTTCGAGTGTCAAATCACTAGAACACAGCATACTGAATAGGTGAAGATTGTACTTGAAAACATAGATTAATTTGGAATTACGCACTGTGAATAACTCATACCTAGAAATGATCCAGCTGGAATGACAACTCTCTATACCTCTTTGTTAGAGATAAAATAAGAGTTGTATGTACTGTGAAGTTCTGTGAGTGAAGAAGAGCCACAGATATATTTGTGTTCCTACATGAATTAGAACTGACTAGTAACGCAGTGCTGTTTTCTATTGCATTCTTCTATTGTCAAGGAACTAGGAGGAAAAATACTTCATGGCAATTTCAATGATGGAAATGATGGACTTGATGGAGTTTTGGTCTGCAGTTTTATGCACCTTCACAGAAAGAGGGTAGAAGAAACAAGATAAACGGTACTTCCTATTAGAAGCAGAGCAAATATCAGCTCCTATGCATTTCAATGACTTGTACTGCACAAAAAGCACACACAAAGTCTGTAAGTCTGTAAAGAATATATGCGATTATTTGAGCACCCAAATGTACTTGCACAGTTATCGAAAGAGCCTGTTCAGTCCCCCAAACATGCCGGCAAACACAGTTTGTGATAAAATAAAAAGCTGGAAAAAGGCAAAATGAGAAAAGCCAAACGTAGACAAATTGGTCAATAAGATTCAAACTCATCAGGTAGGACTCTTCTCAGCCTCTCTCAATTTATCATTTTTCTCTCTTAAGTTCAGTTGCCTGCCATTCAGTTAGACACCAAGACTTCAGCCTTCCTGATAAAGATTGTTATAAATAATCTTGATAAGCCAGGGTACCACTGATAGTAAAATCTAATTTTAATAGTATTTCTTTAGCTTCTCAAGCTGAAGTACTGAGTTCAACTTGAAAAGTCAATCATTTTTCATACATCTTAGAAAAGTAGAGATTGTTTGGGGAACGCCTGCCGCTTTACAGAGATGTGAACTGCCAGCCCTCTCAAACTTCCTGCAAGTCAGACATCTGACTTCCAACATCCCCAGCCTAAAGCAAGTGGGCAGGCTGGAAGCATCATACGTTGCTTTCAGTGCACTGAAGAGAATTCTTACCACACTCTGCTGTGAGGAAAACAGTATATTGAGTTAACGTATAGTACAATAGTGACAGCTGTGCCCTACAAAATAAGTCTGCACTGGGTATGGAGTAAATACCACTTAGCAGGCAGGAGCTGTGGGAGGCAATGTACAAAGCGCAGCTGCTGCACCACCTGGAGACCAACATGTGTTCCCACCCAAGCCCCTCAGCCCCACTCCAGCGGGGGGGGGGGGGGGGGGGGGGGCTCAGGGAGCATCTGAGTGCTTGAGTGTTAAAATACTAATGAGAATGCTTGAACAAACAGATGGATGGACACAGCCTCTCTACCCCAAAGAATTCCTAATCTACAAGACAGACAAAATTACATAGGCAGGCCTACACAATTGAGAGGGTATAAATATGGCAGCTTGCAGCATTAGCCAATGACTCTTCTTTTTCCAGGACTTCAGCTATGCCTGGCCCCTACCTGACCCCAGCTCGGGATCAGCGAGTTACTTGCACTTTCCTCTTCTCATTTAAGAGCAAGATTTTGGAGAATCAAGTACTCGCTAGCACTAGAAATATGCTAAAGCATCTGGGAACAAATGCCCTCTCCTTTTCAGGATATCTGGGATAGAAGAAACTATTAAAAGAAAATGTTCCTTTCCAGAGTCAGAAAGGCTGAAAAGCAGAGATTATGACATGTGCTATCAGTTACCAGAGAGTGTAACACATACTATCATAACGAAAGGAAAGGACAGACAGGCAATAAGGATCACTAGGAAATAAAAAGCATTTACTTTATGGAGGAAGCAGTATTTACATTTCCCTTAGTTAACTTTTTGCAGCTGGGTTTTCATACAGAAGCTTCCAATAAATCTTCGTAGGCTTTACACGCTACGGTGTGAAAGAGTTCACTGACGAGATTTATTTCACCGTTTCCTAAGCAAGTCACCTACCATCCCTGTCCCCCCAACAAACATCTAACAGCTCCGAAGTGAAAATCATGTGTTTTAAAAAATGGGAGACAATTCTGGACAAGAAAAATCAGTGAAAAAGATCAGGATCCCCTGGGATAAGTCACCACGCAGAAATTCAACGTTTCACCCTACACGTTGCTGGAAAGCATGAAACAAGAACAAAGGAAAAGTCCAGATAACCTGCACCAGGAAGGGGGGGGGGGGGGGGTCTTATCCCCTTCAGGGCCGGGGGAGAGCTGAGCAAGACGGATTAAGTGTAGAGACAGAGGACTGTGGGAGACTGTTTGAAAGTCCTTACACCAAACCCAGAGAAAATTCCCTTTCTGCAGTTATCATTTTTCCAAATAAAACACCTTGTTATTATTTTCAATTTACTGGCAGGTTAAAAACAAAAAACAAAAAACCTCTGTTTACTGTTTTCAGTAGGATAACAAAACCTGTCCTAAATGAACACTCGGGGGACCTGTAAAATATGCCACCGACACCTTGAAGAGCTTCCACTTACACTAAACAGAGCTGAGCTGGCAAGCTGCAGAGGCACTCTGAAGTACCCTCTCAGGCTATGTTTCATCTGTGGTTAGGAAGGGAGATTATAATACATGTGAGCATACCCAAAATAGCTTTAATCTACCTCTCTTGGGTACCAGGAGCCGCGATGCCACAGCAGCTGAGCGATTATGTGAGACGGTCAGCCAAGTACTTACAATTCAGGACATCCTGTGCTGAAACCTGTCCCACAACAGCAGAACTCCTATCAGCACTTCAGCTATCTGGCTTACCTTGGGGACGCCTGGCCATGCTGTAATGATACCTTCCTCTTAATTAACACTGGAGATTTTATTTTTGCCTAACCCCTCTACAGGACTGCTGTTCGTGCATCGTGCATGGACTCTTCAAGGAAGGAGGAGGACAGCTAGCCCTTCCCGACAGACCAAAAATGGAAATGTTTTGGAGTGTGCTGCTTAGCCCTGACTGTCAGAAGCATGACTTGTCTATGTAAACCAACTACAGAGATGATGGTTAGAATGTGGATGTCGGGGGAGGAGTTAATGGGATGGATTGGCATAACTGGAAGACTATGTAGCCCTCTAAATCTTTTATAGTGTGACTAATAGTAATCTCCCTTCTCCCAGTCTTCATCTAAAAATAGCAGTTGGATCTTTTCAGTCAGCTCTCACTTAGCATCGTGCTCTGTGCCAAGACAGTATATGCTATGCATCGTGCAGAAATGAAATGGAAGCAGTGAGCTGAGCAGTACACCAGACTTTGCTTGCTGTGTTATGATGACAGTATTTGAGAAGCAAGTATGTTCTTACGCGGTATGAGTTTGATATCCTTAAGGCAAGTCAAATTTGAGAATCCAACTGAGGTACGTATGATCCTGAGTGCACTGACAGCCCAGTATGCATTAGCAGTTCTGTCACCTTCCACTGGACAATTCCCCACAAAGTCAAACTCAGCTTGTAAGCACTTGCAGGATCAGAACTGCCAAGTTTCTTCAAAGGTTCTCCTTCCTCTTCCC